TGGTGTTCCCACCACATTGGTTAATACTGACATATCAAACAATTTTTAGTATACTTTTGTTGCTGTATCAAGGCAACATTGTATCATACTAGTTGGTAAGTGCCAGTCTGAAAAGATTCAGACAGGAGTACCAATATCAATGTTTAGAAACTTGGTGCACAAAATGAATTCCAAGAGCTAGTCAGAAATTAATCATCATCATTGATTAAAGTAAGAAAGATCTAATTGATTTCACACCTGTCTTAGGGAACTCTCTGCATCTCTTGCATGCTTCTGCAAACCAGAAAAAAAAACAAACAGCTTATCAGCTAAAAAAAAGCAAGCATCATAACCTACTACATGTCCAGGAAAATTCCCATTCACAATCACCAAAAGGATAGACAATGGGACATGACAGCTTGCTGAACATTTTATTATCAGATTCTAAGCCATACTTCATCAAATAAGCACTAAATACATATAAGTGTGATGCCAAGATTATCAGGAAAGAGAATATGCTACATGATATGGAGTTATGAATTGTGTGGTGGAATTACCTTGTGCTTGTTAATCTCCATGATCAGTTCAGCTTTCTGCACAAACAGTTAAAAATCATTAAAATTACTAATAAAGCACTGAAGCGAGTTCCTTCAATATAGTTAATAAATATGCCTCCTCATTCTCAAAATCATTAATACTCATCGTGAATATAATTTATTGCTCCAATAGTGCAGGGAAGAGAGAATATAATGAGAATAATAGTATTCCATCATTTAATTTTAGCCTGATTTAATTGCAAAAACAACTATTCATTACAACTTGAAAAATTACTAGTTAGCATTTAAAATAATTTCCAAGATAAACCATGGTGAGAACATTAACAGTGAATCTACATTTAAAAAAAGGAAAAAGGTATTCTGATCTGCTGTAAAGGTATGCAAAGGAAATAAAAGGATTTGTTGTTACATAAGCTAGGGCTGGGTCAAGGCAACATAATAGATGAGGCATTGTACTGATGCATGCTAGAATAACCCAGAAACCACTTGGATGAACCATATTAATAAAACAACTAAAGAATTGTTAAACCCCTAGTTTCAAAGGGTTGGTGGGAAATGAAGGAGAAATAGACACTCATACAGAGTGGCAGGCAGTGAGAAAGAGAGTCATCAAGCACTAACAGTATTTGGAAGAGGTACAACATGAAGAACTCACAATAGACCATTCACTGCACGGCTTCCCTCAGTCAAGCATGAATAAGACACTCACCAAATATCAACCTTCTGTGGTTAAATTAGAACCTAGGCTGCTTGACCTGGCCCTACTGCTTATCCTTCATGAATTTAGCATGATTTGCCACCTCCTTTATCCTCAAATAAGGAGACTAGCTCAGCCTCTATTATTATCATTGTTACACCCAAGATATTGCTTGTGCACAAGGTAGTCTACTTTGCTCATGCTTGTTGCATTTAATGCTTTTCTTCTTGGGGATCATATAGGTCTTATATTAGTCGATAAAGTTAAATAGGGCATAGCCAACTATGATCTTCTTGACATAATAGGGCTCACCAGCAATGATTTATAGGAAAATTTACATGTTATGTATTCAAAATAAGTACCAGCATTTTAAAGATTTGATCACTGATTCGTAAGATGGCTAATGTTATCAAGTCACGCAGCTAATAATTTCACAAAACTCAATTTATTCAAGAGGAGGATGATGTCTGGTATTCAAAGGCACACTACATAAATGTTGTTCTACCTGTAAGTACACCCAACATTTATAATTATTAAATTACAGTAAATCAGTTTTGCAGGTGGAAGAAAACAGGTTACAATGTAAATAGAGCCAAAAAAAAATCAGAAAATGCATTTCAATAGTGCATGTCATCTTAGGTGACTTCCACTGAAACATATGCATAGTAACTTACCTCCAATTTAAGAGATTCATTCTGTTCCCGTAGAGAATGCACTTCCTGAATGAAACAAATTGCCCAACAGTTCAAATGTCATGAATATATAGAAACTGCACTACATTGGAAAAAAAACAAGAACCTTTTCTAGATCATCATTTGGTACAACAATCAGAGGTGCATACAGATTAATCATCTCTTTCCGCCTAAATTTCCTATTACATTGAGGACACTGCAAAATTATGCAAACAAGAATTAAACAAGCAAAACTTCAGACAAATCATACCTTACATATGTTGCTTAAAACATCAATGTCCAGTTCAAACAAGCAACAAGAATTAAAATACCTTTCCAATATTCTTTCCAAATTGCTTAAACCATCTCTCTAGGCATGATCTACCATAAACATGTCCACAGGGTATACAGCTGTAATTACAATGACAAATATATCAGCCTGCAGATCACTTGATGCTTAAGCCACAAACTACCAGAAGAGGACAAAATATTTGTTTCAACAAAAGCATAAAGTTCTTTATGGAGAAGTATAATTCCTAGTCATGACAGCGCAAGCTAAAAATTAGCCTAATTATACATCAACACCTCAAGCATGAGTCAACATAACATGTAACCATAGCTTACTGGTATGATATATTTTAATCATTCTAGACAAATGTGGAGTGATATGGCAATCATTGTTAATATGAGAAAGGTAAGGTCCTCCATAAAAGCAATTGTTATATAATCTAGAATAAGAAATTAACAGTAATTCATTAAATCATCACAACACACTTTTCATAGCATGTTTAGGTTATCCTTCTATCGTATCTTGCCATATTGGTTGCCACCATGTACCATATTCAAGTTTGGAATTGGTAAATACAAGTTAACTGCTTTGAAACCCAGGAAATTCAGAATTCTTGTCGCATCCAAAGAGGATGTGTTGGACACGATACTTCTGTTCTGCACCTTAATCATTGTTACCTACTAATTAACAATCTTAGCCACCCATTTTCAAACCAGGTTGAGTCCACTTAGCTAAAATTGGATGCTCAACTGACATGAATATTTTCCATGGAAATACTGATCAATAGCAAATTATTAGATGAGTTTCCCAACATCTTTGTGAGATCATCAATTTTCCAACCAGTGGAAGCAATCTCAATAGCAATCATGAGTTGCCTGATATTTCTTTTGGTTTCAAAGAAATCCTGGAGTGGAATTCAAGATACCCTATGCCAAGCTCTTACGCTTACCAACTGCGAATTAGAATTAACTACAGAAGAATAATAGGATAATCAAATGAGTTTGTGTTTGAGCCTGTCTTGAGTAAAGTAAATGTTGGCAATGATTCTTTTGTCATTTTTTCCAGAATTTTTGTCCATAGTTTCAATAGTTCTTTCGGAAAAGTGATAAATAAGATTTACAATTTTAATATTATCTAAATTTTTTGTAAGATGATAAAGTGCAGATTCTAATATCTGATCACTCTGTCAAGACAAGCACTAGATTTGATTAGGACAAATATAAGAAAAATTGGACATCAAATCAGCAATATAAAAAATTATGGGTGGGAGTTTTCATTAACCCCTATTTTCTTTCTCTTTTAAAGAATTCTTTTCCCTGCATCTACTCTGTCTGAAATATTTTTTATTCTATCCCTTTAGAACTCCTTTTACAATGTCATATAATGATAAATACAATAATGAAGACTCAATCATCCCAATCTTGCAGCGTAGGCCTTTGGATTCCATCAATAATAATTTAAGAAGAAAAAAAATGTCAGCGAGAAATATGTGATAACACATCAACAGTCTGAAGCATCAGGTCATTTTTAATCCTACACATTTATAGCAAAGAGATTACAATTTCATCATCAAACATGTAGGATGCCAAGGCCAATGGGTCTTGGATGTGCCCCAGAAGGGGCATTGTAAAGAAGAACCCTAATCCCACGGTGCCCAGATGAGAAGATTTTGCAAATATGAAGAGCACTAGGTTCAAGCACCAAGCAACATCCAGTTATATCTTATCAAAGATGGAGAACATGTTTGGACATAATTTAGAGATAAGCATCTTATGCGCAGTACTGAATCTACAATACACGAAGTATATCTCACAATATCAATATAATCTCAATCTCGCCGTTCTCCCAACTCTACCAGAGCCAAAGTGCCGTGTGATACTAAGTTTAGAGAAACTGAAAAAAGAAAGAAGAAAACAAAATAAAACAACAAAAACAAGAAAACCCTAATATTTTGCTTACCAGACACGATGAGGTCCATCGGCGCTCCACGTCTCGAAGCAAACGGGGCAACTGGGGAAAAGAGAACGGTCCAACTCCACCCCATCCGTCTTGTCCAAACCCTCGCTCTCCCCTCCTCCACCTTTCCCCTTCTCCTCCGTCGTCTCCACTACTTCCTCTTGCTCGTCCCGCCCGTCGTTGGCGTCTTCCCCTTCGGTTTCCTCGTCCGAATCCACCACGACCTCCACGGCGCCGGGCAACGACTCCTCCGATCGCCGCACCGCCTCCAGCGCCTCCTCGAAAGCCTCCGAGATCGAGAGTTCCGCCGCAGCTGTTTCGGCTATGGTTTCCGAGAGGTCGACGTAGACCGCTTCGTCGGGACGAAAGGAAACCACCACGGAATCGTCCACGGTGGGCTCGTTGTCCTCATCGTCTTCGTCCTCGCTCTCTTCGCGCTCGTCCCCTTCTACTTCGGGACCTCGAGGAGGAATGTTCGACGCCATGAACTGCGATGGAGGAAGGGGCAAGGAGAAGGCGAACGTTCGTTTTGGGAAGCAGAGACTCCGTTAACGGCGTGATGCGGGCTTTCTTAGGACGACGACGCCTGTGCAGTCTGCAAGGAACGTGCTGCGGGCTGGGAAATCAGAGATGTGCGGGGATGCGATCCAAATTGTTAGACGAAAAAGACCTTTCTACTCTTTAATTCCCCGCTTGCGCGGGGATGTGGCGACAAACAGAGATTGTAACATTTTGTGGGGCATACATGTTATATTAAAATAATATACAGGGCAAATATGTCATTTTATAACTTTGCACTAAGTCCTCAGCGATCTTAAAGTCGAGGCCCGGCGTGACCCGACTTTGTCGAGAGTTCCTACGGCCATGGCGAGCAGCGCATCGGCGGAGCGCAGAAAAGGATGGTGGTGGCGGAAGGCGACGGAATGCGCCGCGCGAGGAAGTGGAACACCTTGTGCCCCTGGCCCTCCCACCCGCCGCTGTGGGCTCTGCGGCGCTGTCGCTTACTGCTCCACCGCCCACCAGGTCAGTTAAAACCCTTCCTCGTCGCTTTTATCTAATTTTCCTTCATCTCTTCTTGTGCGTTATAATCTCCTTTTTTCCGACCATCGCGTTGATTTTCTTAATTCCTGTTTCTCGTATGACGTCTCCGTGAATATCCTTTCCTATTCCTTCAATTGTTCGTAACCTGATAATATTCTTGGGTTTAGAAGATTTCCCCTTTTTTGATCCTTTATTGAGGTTATTGATGGAAAAAATGAATAAATTGGATGATGTCAGGAGCAAGAATTTTCAAAGAGATGGTTAAATGAATGACTAGAAAAACCAGGAAGTTTTGGCCACTGAGAACTGGTTGCGAGCAATCCTTGTCGAACTTGTTTTTCCCTTCAATGAGGCAATGCACAATACATATGTCATGAGCGCGGTTACTTTAGTTAAAAGACATTTTCCATTAACTCTGTACAAATGCAAATTTTATATCTATTTTAGAGTCACCATCTTCTTCAGCTAGGTCTAGTCTTAGGCTATGGTCACTTGGTGTAAACGAGTGTTCAGAACTTCTTTAAGGGAGTCCAAGCACCAAACTAGCAAGGGCATCAAGACAGTAATTGGACACCAATTGACCAAAAAATCTAAGTTGATAGGTTATGGGCTGACTAGTATATATATTTGATGGAAGCAATAAAATAGGACTTTGATCATGTGAAAACCTAAATAGCAGATATAACATCTACTCAAGACTTGAAAAGGAGATTTTTTTAATATTAAAAACAAGTCATGAGCCACCAGGTAGCTTGTACTCCTTGCTCTGATACCACATGATACAGGACAGAAGCTGTAAAAACAGAACCATTCGAAGAATGAAGGAATTTTTTAACGAAAATTGGCCATGGCCCATCCTTATAATTGTGGGCTTACTTTAATTGCTTTGCAAATAAGAAAGATTCCTATGATATCATCAAAGTACAAACTTACCTTTCAAAATTTTATTTTGGGTAATTAAATCAGAAAAAACACAAATTAGCAAAAGACCCAGAAATTTCTAAAACAAAAATCCAATGACATGTTTAATTGCCTCATCATTTCTTTGTCCATGCTTCCTGAGGATTGGCTGTTGTGAGGATATACTTAAAAGTGTATGCTATTGTGCTTCACACATCTCTATTTTCTTATGATACATCTAATGGCTAACATAGAACTCATGTCAATCTTCTACGTTTTGCAGATTTCACATTGGACATATCATAAAAAGGAATGTACAAGGCTTGAAGAACAGATGAGGCATGTGGATATATTAAGTGATTTCCCCTTTACGTTCTTTATTGAAGACATAAACCAGGTTACCCATATTTTTCCTTTTACTTTCAACTTATTGTTCTAAACTAAGATTTTATGGCATGTATATGCTAGTATGAATCTTAAGGATCTCATGCTCTTTATCTATATTTACATTGTCATCTTGCTTTTGTAATACAATTCTGTACCAAATGGATTTATACGGTTATGTGTGAAAGTGCATGATATTTAAATGTTTACGAAGTTCTTAAAGTTATTATAGTATATGGGCATGTTCGCAATTACATAGTGGCAGCTCATGCTTTAAAGATTATATTATTATTGATTTTAAATCATGAAGAATTTGTATGAGGTAAGTAAATGAGTGGAGTGCTCCTCTTTCAATAGATTTGTCACCTTTATGCATATCATGACCAAGCCTTGTTTGAGGACTCCTTTTCTGAAGAGATTTCTTGTAAGTGCTATTTAAACATATCATTATTTTAAACAATGTCATGAATTTCCTTTCATGTTTACTCTTTAAAAATGATCTTTCTTACTTATTGTCTAATTTTTTATGTTGTTATTTCACTCTTCGAATGATTTACTTGGTGCTTGTAAAAGCAGGAGAGTAGATGTTCTTTTTTTACTTCAAAGGGTCTCCACCAGATAGGACTATGGAAATCTGAGTGCAGCTGTGGATCATTAGCTGTTTCGATGAATGAGTTGTGGTTTGTGTGGTTTACTTTCTTCAGAATCCTGCTTTTTCTGTTCCTTGACAACTTATTTCCAACTGCTGCTTTTTTGTTCTCTGACAACCATTTTTCTGAATACAAGTTAATATTAGTATCCGTTAGATAACTTCCTGTTGAATTCAGAAAGAGTGAACCATTCCTCTCTCTAGTTTAATCTCTTACTAATGTAAAATCAGTGTAGCTATCCGTTAAGAGGAAACTTTGAGACTCGGTACTTGTGCTCAATTTGTGCCTGGAAGTAAAAATATTCTGGGGATCACAATTATGTGGAAGGCATGTTCTCCAGTTTAGGAGGAATGCGAGTGTTTGATATTTACTAAAAGGGGTTGCCAAATTCATTAGGGGACATTGCACAGTGAATGTAGGTATAGGATTATGTGGAACCACTAGTATATTTTTCGTCTCTCATTTTCTTGGAATTTGGTTACATAGACAAAAATGGGAAGGGGAGTATAGTTGGTCAGGAGTCCATGCCTTTCACCAACCATATACCCCTTTTCTACTATATAAAGATTTAGTCATCCATATACATGAACACAAACTATATGTGTAGATAATATTTGTTTGCATTTAGGAAGTACAGCACTGGTCGTATCCCTTTGGCATACATAGATGCATACACTGATTATGTTATATATACATATGTGAACATGTAAAAATCTGTGTCAATGCATATATATGTAAAAATGTCCAAGTGGATATGTTTATTTATATATGTATTTAATAAAATATCTTCATTTAATATAACTGTATCTAACTGAAAACATGTTACATGGCAGGTTAAATGATAATTGGAGTCTGCCAAGTTCCCTATGCCCATGTGCTGGTATATTTTCTCTTTCTCTCATAGTGCAATCAGGCTTCTTTGCTGTTTTTAAATTAGCTAGTGCCACACAACTCTCAACAGAACCAAAAAGTCAACTGTCAAGTTGTTTGAGCTGCTGGGAAGATTATTACCAATGGAGATGTCTGCCACTCGATTCACCAGTCGCATTATTACTTCACTGGGTACTCCAAGTTTTCCTTTTAAAGCAACTATGTATAACTTGGTCTTTAATCTGGATGCCTGTGACTTTGTCACTTATAATGACTGCTAGACAACAAGCTCATTTTCCATCCTTGCTTTGATATTCTTTCTGTCTTGTGCTTTAGACATGCATGAGCCAACTGAGTATTATTCTGGTGCTGTGTTGGCTAATTAAAGTGTAAAATCCTCTCGCTTGTCCTTCTTGTTTCACCAATATCTGTCTTCTTTCCTGACTTGTGCTGTTCCCTAACATTTGAAGCCCTTCACTGATCAGCACATCCATTACAATATTGTAACACCCTTGATGCTTGTGGTTATGAACCATGTCCAGAACATCTAGCACTTTATAGAAGATATCCTGCAAAGTATAATGAAACAGAATTAGATAGTGGCTATCAGGTACGACACCTGGGCAATGATGATATGTGGATTTCAAAAATAATAATTGGTGGCTTATCTTGAATCATAAGTTGCATATGCAAGCTAAATTTTGGCATGGTATCGCATGATACTTTATTATGTAAACTCCTCCTTGCTAAGGACATGTGATTCTAACGAAAGAAATGACTTGAAATTGTATCTTCATGTTATAACCAAATATGTCTAACCAGTAGAAGGGCTTATTTAAATGAAAAAGGTTATTCTTTGCTGTATAACTTAGCCTGTCATAACATAAAGCATAAAGTTATCGCACAACAATATCCTTTTTCTATTATCTTTTGGTATTCTTCCCATTTCTCTTATATCATAGTAAATTCCATCTCTATATGAGTGTTGTCAAAGCCCTGCAGTTTGTGCATATGTAAATTCTTCTACCAGAAGGTTAGTTACTTGTGCATTCTTACCCTGTCATTTTGTGCCTACTTTGAATATCTTTCTACATTAAAATAGGAAAGTATTCTTACCCTTTGAAATGAAGTCTGTAAATCAGTCTAGGAAAAATATCAAATTTAGTTGAAAATTTTGTAATTTTTTTTTCTTCAATTACAGCCACTAACTGTGTATCACTGCTTTCAACTTTTGGCTGCCCAAGGCTCAATTTCAGAAGTTAAGGACGAATTAAATATACACTATTTAGGTAAAAAGAATCTCTTTTGTATCTTGGTGATTTATCAATATGCCTGATTTTCAATATTGCAGAATTCTGTTTTTTGGACATTCTGTAGAAACACTTTGAATTTCTCTGTGCTTTAATTGTATAACAGCACTTGTATGTCAACTGTATATCATCTTTCTTCAATTTTTTATTGATTGTCCATTTATAGATGATATAGTTGTTTTTTTACGTTTGATTGAAGATGAACTATTTTTTTATTGAATTGCAATAATAATGATATGGTTTAGCATCAAAATATATAAAATAGGTGTAGCATTAGGCTACAAGCATCTTTGTTGTGATTTTGAGTTAACATTATTTGTTATGACTTGTTTTGTATATTGCATGTTTTCATGTGAGTTCCATATTAAAGTTAGATTACACTATTTGTTCCAAGTGATTGTGGACCATGTGCTTGTATACTGTAGCACAAGTTCACACAATTCATGCTGTAACTTATTATTTGAAGGACCTGAGAAAGAGCTTTTGCAACTTGGGGTCTTTGGAGAGTTGCTGGCACTTTTTTCTGGAGTTCAAATACATATGGACCTTGTTGGTCCAGCAGTTCCACAATTTAGGTTGGTTTTCTAATCTACTTTTTCATATAAGTTTAAGATTGTGTTCTTTCTTGTTGATTATGGTCGCCAATTTAATATGAATTTGAGGTTGTTGGCAACATCAATTTTCTTGAATTGGTATTCAAAAATGACTTCATTGTAATAGGCATTTTCATCTATCCTTTATCTCAAAACAAATTCACCTTATTGTGTATGAACAAGAACCATCTGTCTGATTTTTGCTGTTATTTCAGTTTGTTGCTAAGCACCTGCAACTTTATTGGTAAGTTTATTAATGTCCAAAGTTGAGTAGATTTATGAAGCCACATAGATGACTAAAGCTGGTCCTTCTGTTGTTTATAAAATTGATTTCTATTTTGTAATGGAGATTGTCTTGCCATGATTACACATCTGGATTAACAGTTCATCCTTCATTCTGCCTACTAAATGACTTGAAGAATTATACAAGGAATTTATGCATTACATAATTGTTTGCTGCATTACAAATGTTGAGTCCTCCACAAGATGTAATGGTGGTTCCTCAATTTTCCAATAGATTTTGTAGTTGTTTTTTATGCTAATTAGAATATGAAATTCATCCATTTTATTCAACTATAAGAACCTCTATAACATTATAGATATTGTTATGCACATAGTGTTGAAGCCTTCAAACCATTGCAAGGTTGTGCTGTTGTGATCTTGGATTCAGAGGTTTTCTGAGTCACAGTAAGCACACCATTGAAAAAGGGGAACAGGTTAGGTTGTTCTTTGAGCACATGGTTTCAAATACCAGTTGTATTGGTGTGTTTTGATCTATATATACTAGTATGGTTTAGGCCTGGTACCAGATTATATATTTTCGTACTGTCAGTATTCTTTTTTTAATGTTTTTCAGCATTATGAGGTGGTATAGGTCGGCAAACTGCCTGGTATACCAATATTTTACCAGTTCAACAACTTGTCGAAACTGGTATAGGACCAGTACTCAAGACCATGCTTGAGCATGTATTCAAGATGCAAAGAAGCTCGCTTTACATTTGCAAACAGTTCTTTTTATCAACTCCCTCTAGCATCTGATATTCTCATGTTAGCATAGCGCCTTGGGCTTCCTTTTGCAGCTTTGACAAACATGAGTGTTTTGTCTCTTTGTTTCTGTTGTTTTCCGTATATGTTTTTTCTTACTGTTGGATACACTGTGTGTGTGTGTGTGTGTGTGTGTGTGTGTGTGTGTGTGATAGAGAGAGGAGGGGTGATAGAGAAGCTGCCTTCTTGTTGTGCTAGTGCTTTCTTTTTTATTTTTAGGTTTTTGCTTTTGTACTGCTTCCTACAGAATTTTTGTATATCTCCTCAGTATTAAGGTCACAAAAATACTCATTATAGTAACTCAACTGTTATTAGCCAGTAAACAAGATCTCCTATTTCTTTCCTGTTGCGAGATTGGAGAGGGGAAACATTTGTGGGAGTGTATGCCAAGGCATGCTTGATAAATCATGGTGAGATAAATCTTATAAGATTATCAAATGGTTGTATTGACATTTTTGTTGTTTCACATTTTTTTCGTTCACCTTCTTTTCTTTCTGTGTACATATGTTTCATGTGACTGACAGTGGTCCAAATATTTATATAACATTCTGTTGTACAGAATTTACTTATGCCCCTTGCTATTGACTTTATGTTCTTGTGTGTTTATTGTAGGGATGGGAAAACAGTAAGCCTCTGCAAGTACCTTCCTTGCGCTGAGCAGGACTGTATATGTAAGTCTTCATGTGCAGATTCTGGTGCAAGGAGATTAAATGGAAAATGTGTTACAGTACATATAAAGCTTCACAAAGGTTTCTACCATGACATACGTGGGAACATATTAAAGGTCAATTTTTGTTTACTATCCATGTTTTAGAGGTTTCTTGAACTGAAAATTTTTAAGTAGATATAACTTGCATTTAAATAGTGAACATGATGTGGGATCATAACTTTGCAAGTTATGTTTGCTTGTCTAGACAGCTGTTTTGTTGTACTTGTGGAAGGGCAGCATATATAATGCAAACACTTGCAGAATTTTAGGTGTAATGTATTTAAGATAAAATATTTTTTTTCATGTTTTGGTTTCATCATTTCTATTTTGACTCCATAGAGTGTAGAATGCTATCCAGCAAATGCTGATATGGACAGTGTTTCTAGTGACATGAAAAGGACATTAAAAGAAAATCCAAAAATCTGTATTTTGTTAAGCTGATTAAAATCTCTGCATACAAATAACCCCCACTCATTCAGTGACAAAATGTTGAAGCTTAATTGCCGAAGGCAAAAAGTGACAGAATGAAGGGAACAGAGATGTTAAATTTCCAAGTGGTACATACCTCCAATGTTTTCCATCAAGAAAGGTAAACCAAAAGAATAAATGATAAACATACCTTGTCTGGATACTTCTATAATCCTCAAACCAAGGAAGGTGCAAAAATTTCAGGAATATACATGTACAAGTACAAATTCTGCATGAACTAGCTTTCACTCAAGAGTGACTTTAAGAAACAATTTAGTTCTATATTGATATGGATGCTAGATAATCTTGATAATAAACAAGGTAAAATTTCGATTCTCTCTAGAAAATGTATCAATAGTAAAAATTGAATTAAATATTGTGATGTGATGCACTTAACATGTTCTTGTTTTCATCGTCACATGTCAGTTTTGAATGAATTGATATGATGGATTGGCAGGTTGATATCAAGCTAAATTTGATACACGTTCTAAATTATAGCATGCTTTGTGCAAACTCTTTGTTTGTTGCTTTCTTGATACTCATAGGGAGGAAATATCTCAGATCTCTATGATAAGCTTAGATTTCTATACTTATTATTTATGAGCTATTTTCAGGATTCATATCCTCACCTTATTATTGCTCCGAATGCTGGTGTTGCTGCTTATTCTAGTTGGTCACCCACTATTGTAAGTCATCCATACCATAGCATTCTTTTCCTCCTTGTGGTTATGATCAATTTCAATCAATTTTATTGCGGGGAAACTTAACTGGGCCCTCTATGCTCAGTCTCCTAGATGGAATAATAGTGTCAACTTACAGAATGGTTATAAGTATGATAACATAAGCTTCTTGGTATTACATTAACATTGATTTGTTCCATTGGGATGTAGATGAGATAGGGTTTCTCTTTAGTTTCTCGAAAATATTATGATGGTTAGATCAATCCTCTATTGGAAAATTTGATGAAGCTGATACTATAAACAAACTTCCAATGTGGACAGGCAGATCTTGGCAAGTGTGTTTCATCATACCATTACCGGTGTCAAGAAAATATGAGATTTATCATTGATTACCCGGATTGAGTCTCATGTCGGTGTCAAAGTATATCATTGTATACTTAGAAGCACATTGCACTTACTGGTAGTTTGAACTATGGAATGCTTGCCTTTTCTTGTTCGGACAGCTTCTGCATTCTAGTTTAGGGATGCAGCCAACTGATTGATCCTCGGTTTCAGGAGCTAATTAAGGAAATGGGCATCCCAGCCATATTTACCGACTTCTGTGAGGAAGCTGCAAATCTAGCTGCCGATTGCATAAGCACTGTCACTAGCCTACCTCTCAGGCTGCCGGTATATCTGTTAACCTGTTCTTATGCCCTTCAATTTCGAAGCCTGGCCAAAAAAATCTGGAACCTAACTGGCTTATTGTTTTGCAGATTCAAATCAATCCATTTAGGCAGCCAATGGTGGTGGAAGATAGCGCGTTATACGTCCCATGCTACTCGAATTGCTTTCTCTTTGGGATGTGATTGTATACAAGGTGTATTATTTGGTTTCTCATAAAGACACTTGGGGTAGAGGTTTGAACTGTGTGTTGAAGAAACAGAGCTTTTCTATCCTGTCAAAGATTGTTCGTTCTATACAACGTGCATCTATCAGTTTTTGTGGGATGCCTTTTGTTCTTTAATGACATCTTATTGATCTTTAATTGTGTTGATGAAAAGAACTAGTAAGTTATGGTTATCAAGAGACCATCAAATTGAACATCATGTATAGGAACAATCACAAACACAATTCAATCCCTATCGAAATAGACAACCCACAGAGCTTTGCAACTCAATCTCATGTGCACACACACCATCCTCGCATTATCCTACCCACACTGGCACTCAGATATCGACGTCACAATAGACCCTGTCGAACGTGGGCGTCGCGGAGAAGCTCACGAGCACAGGCGCGCAGTAAACCCTCAGCGTGTAGTGCTTCGTCTTTACCACCCCCACCTTCAACCTTATCCTCGCCCTTACCCTCACCTCCAACCCCACCTTCCCGGCCGACCGGTCGTGCTTCAGGCTCTTCTCCACCGATCCCAGCAGCGGCGTCGACGTTGCCGCCGCGATCACGTCGAGCGTCGTCACGTTCCGCCGCCGCTGGTAGAATGGTGCAACCTCCGTGAAGGCCACCATCTGGTCGTCGTACCAAACCGTGACCTCCATGAAGTCGTAGTACACTGAGACCCGGTGGTTGCGGTTGTAGGACCGGAGCGTGAGGTCGAAGGTGGCGTTGAGCGCGTGGCTGGCCGTGAGGTTGAAGCCGTAGACGCGGGCGTCGTCGACGGTGTACTCGAGCGCCTTCGGGCGGACGACGAGCCAAAAGATGAGGACGACGAGGCTGACGAGCACGATGATGCCAAGGCCGGTGAAAACGATGCACTGGAGGATGCCGGGGCGCGAACGCCGGCTGGGCCACGGGCGCTCGCGGACCATGGCGGTGAGTGTCGTTGCTGCCGAGGACGAGTGGCGCAGGGATTGGAACGGATATATAGAGCCGAGTTGAGAGTGTGTAGGGAATGTTTCGGGGAGTGCAAAAGTGGCGATCACAGGCTGTACGAAAGCGGAAAGCTTCCATTGTCCTTTGTTCTTTTTCGGCTTTGAATGTTGTTTTTAGTCACCGTAAACCTCCATGAACAACTCAGTAAGCAGCGCCAGAGATCTACATTCTGCGTATATTTCACATCTCTCTCATCAAAATCGTTGGTGTTTGCAGTGTCAAAATCCTGTGGTACACGTTCCAAAGCACACAGCATTAGATTAGAACCAAAGTGACAAGGCCGTAAACCTGTTTATCCTTATCGCTTTGATGGATTGAGATGCCTCGTCTCGAGATTGTTCCAAGTATATTTCCCCTCTTTCTCAAGCTTTTTGTCTTGCCCTCCAGCCCAAGTTATGCTCTTGTATAGGGAACAGGGTTGTTGTCACAGGGCCCATGCGGACGTGTCAGGAATCGACTACAGCGATGGGCCTCAAACGGATTATAAGGCCCACAAACGTAGCCCACCCGTTACTTGCCCCGACACCGATATAAAATGACAAATTTAGAACCACGTATTTGCTTATTGTAAATGAAAAAGCTCTTTGAGTTAGGATTATTTTGTTGATATGAAATTTTATTTACTGACCTCGTTACTAACTGATGATGAGGTTATCGGTGACGACTTGATTTTGAATCATATGCGTAAGGGTTAAGAAATAACTGGGAGGATAGCTCGGGTGTCCACTTGTGAACTAAGAAGATTATAATTGGATGAGATGTTCGATCTAATCCCTCCTTTAACGTTAGAACAAAGGTCGAGAGTAAAATTATGGTTGACCATTGACTAATCTGGATAACAGTAGATTTGGTTTAGAAGAGTTGTTTTACGGTGTTTCCTCTTAGAGTTACTGTTGTTGGCTTGGGTGTGTATCATGTCATGCGAGTCCCGATCTCCACGTCGAGCTGACAGCCCGTGTCAAGCTGCAATTGGAGGGTGAATTATCCTCTTATCATTAACTAAAGCATCGCATAGAAGAGATGACACGTTTCCAATGTAGTTCTGTGTGATCGATGCTGATCTATAGCAAACCTTCAGTGAAATTTCCTCACGAGGAGAATGCAACACCAGATGGAGAAAGATCTTTTTCCGGCAGATGGACGCGATGACGAAGACGATGGAGAACACAGCGTGCCCACTTCGGCGGTGATCTCAAATGGCGGAGCCAAAACGAAAACAGTATGATTAGGGTGTGGATTAATTAGGTCCGACCCTGCATCCTTTTTATGATGTAGTGTGAGATGAGAGTGCACATAGCTAGCTAGCTTCTCCATGTCCCATGTTTCCGAGCCAAGAGCAGGCGGCAGTGGACACTCGGCAGAGCACTACATTGCAACGCTCCCTCCATTATCAAGTACTTTTGAGCTCGATACGGCCGCCCCAACCCCGGCATCAGATACATAGGAGCCACTGACTGCTCGTCGTATACCACCCAAAACAATGGACCTCTTTATCCGAAGTCTCATCGGGAAGAAGTCAAGACTTCACCGAAAAGTAAAAGCATGCTGGCTGAAGTCGTAGTGCCGACTAAGATAGATGAGCTAGTGGGAGTGCCACAAAGCAGTGCTTATTTATATTGCCTCTCTTCTCGGCCTTCTCTTATTGGCCTCTCCCCTCACTGCGGCCAGTGGTGGCTTTCCAACAATATCTGCAAGCTGGTGGTGGTAGTGGTGGTGGTGGTTGTGCGAAAGGAAAACTCTGGTAAGCAACTTTTATTGCCACCCCGTTTAAGAACTATGAGTGGCTTCTGCGTAGGAACTCCTCACGTATCCACAAAGAAAACACGAAGTATAAATACTGGATTAGTATGATGACAATTATTGAGTGCGACCTTATCACTTGTTCAACTCATGCTGTCTTATGTAAACGTAAACGTGGAGCTTACAGAGGAACTGAGCATGCAAGAATTAAGCAACTGTGAATGCATGCATTTGCTCCCAATTGTTCATCCTAGACTCCCGCTATCACTCATATACATATATAATGTAGGAGTTGGAGAAGTAACACGTTGTTCTACGTCACCATTCCATCTCCGCGCCCTTTAATAAAGACTCATTTTGTTGCACCCCATGTATAAAAGAATGCAGGATCATCAAAGTAGCATGTAGATTACTGGATGCATGCTTAGTGAAGTATATTAGAGTTAATCATAGTCTTCTGTCTTGTATATTAGAGTTGATCCTTTTGGATTATTATTATTATCAGTGAGACAAGCATGCAGTAGTCATTCGTAAACCACCAATCATGTATATTTAAGATTAAGAATGTAGAAAGACCGAACGGGATTATTCTTTTATCAACCAACGCAGAGTTCTATTAGCTTTAGTTCTCTAGATATCCTATGAGAACATATCTTTGACACGCCCACTGTAGGTTATGATGATGGCTAGAACAATGAAAGAGCTAAAAGCAGTAGAAGTCATCTCCGTATATATGAATCGAACTTAATCTAACTACTACACAAAGCAAGAAATGACATTGGATTCCATCAACCTTAGAATTGCTTGAAGTATCGAGTCCCGAAGTCCTTCTCCTAACATGTCCATGTTTGTTGGCCGAGAAGTTGAAGGCATGCACTAGATGTTTACTGAAGCAGATAGTATAGGTTCCACGCATGGCTCAAAGGAAGAAACACTGCACATCCCCAGGGACATTGGGTGATGCTGCGTCAAGACTGTCATTGGATCTCTATCTATCGTTATGCTTTGTGTGGACTAATTCTTTCTCCCTGTAACTAAATTACTATAGGCAAAGATAATGACAGAAAAAAGGAACCGCAATCATCAACTTGTTATTAGCTCATACGAACCATTCCTTTTATTCTTGCACTTCGCTAGTGGAATCTTTGACGCTACCTAAAATCGGCATGCATTTTTTTGCTCTTCTGAGACGTACCAACCACTAGGCTGAAGCTCTCTGGTCAATGACATGCAATGCGGTATAACATAAGCCGAAAAAGGTCAAAGAAAAGGTTAAGACAAGTTAGCCTTAACAAAGAAGTTCTTTAATGGGGGTATCCATTCTTCTTTCATAAGCTACATTACGTAATAGTGGACATCCATGAAATCCTCCTTAAGTTACTTGATGATTTGTGTTAAAGACTAAGACAAGTTAACCTTAAGAAAACATATCATCGATGCAGTAGCTATGCCTTCTCCCATAAGCAACATAACGTGATAAAGGACGTCCACGAAATCCTCCTTACGTTATTGAATGATTTCTCATGATAATATTTGAGACGAGTCAAATTGCTCATGACAATATGTTGAAAGGAATTCAACGTAAGCAATTCTAATACCAAAAAAGCAACCATGCATTCACTTTACATAAAGCATCAAAGACTTTATGAAAGATTGATATTGTAGACAAAAGTTCACAGTGAAAAGTAACGAGGCATAAAACATCAACTTTCCAATTAAGAGATATAATCTTAGTGAATCGAGCTTTGTTTATTGTGCAAGACCAATGAGAGACAGGCTTGGCTGTTCTTGATATTTTGGTCAATAGAACAATCATTCCATATATGCAATAACTTGAGCTGTCTCATCTCATTCCCTCTCGGTCTCCATTAGCATTGCCTCACTCATTTATATGTCCATTGATCATCCAGTTCACTTGTCATAGAGTGGGGTGCATGGTAGAAAAGTTCTTGAATAAATCTCATCATTCTCTTTTTGATTAGGTCCACCCAATAAATCGTAGTCCAATCGCAGTCCAGATCTATGGTTTCGGCCAGTTAAATCAAAAGGCTATCTACCTAATCTTTTTCTTTATTTTGCCTTTTGATTCATTGTAATACTTCAACCTAATCTTCGCATCAGAGTAGTAGTAGCACTAAAGTCCATCCACTACCGTAGTAATGTAATCTACAACTCTGGCCACGCTATAAATTGGTGATGACTCCAGCACTAGTTCATATCAGCTTTTCCCGGGCATTGCTCTTTACAGGTACAAGTGTTTGTTCCATGGAGAGTATTGTTTCTCTGCTTAGTCCCATGAGAGCCATACTTTTGGTTTTTCTTGATGAATGTTGAGAATGATGCCGAGCTTTTAAGCTGCAGACATCATCTTCATGATTATTTTTCTTGTTTGTTTTATGTATGCAGTTTCCTCTTTGAGCTTCTTTAGGAAGCTATACTGGTTTGGCTGCTCACCTAATGCTCATCATAGATAGACTGTCATAGACTATGTATACTATAAGAAACAGTCAGAGATTCTGAAGGTGAAAGATAAAAGGTTCCAAAGCACAGATTTATTACTCGAGAAAGCAGGTTGCTATTGATCTCCTTCTCTAGTATTTGCCCCATGTATTTAAAGACCTCACGTAGCTGAGAGATGCAAGGATGATCATGATTGCACAATATGTGCATGGAATCAATGCACTACTATCGATTTGGTTGCTATTCCTTTCTCCTACTGGATTGGTTCCTAACATGCATTTTCTTTCTTTGTTCTTTCAGATACTTTGTTGCTGTTTGCATAGGGAGTATCAAAGGAGTACGAGTTGGAAACATTGAGGCTGAACTAGATTACATTGTACTAGTAGATCTTTTGCACTTGCCATATCTAGGAAAATGGCACTTGCTTCGATTCCTGCAGTAGTCCTGGGCTCGATTGCCTTCACCGTATTCTGGATGCTGGCTGTGTTCCCTGCAGTCCCCTTCCTACCCGTAGGAAGAACTGCTGGATCTCTTCTAGGTGCCATGCTCATGGTGATCTTTCAGGTCGTCAGCCCCGAGCAGGCCTACGCATCCATCGACCTCCCCATCCTGGGCCTCCTCTTCGGTACCATGGTCGTTAGCATCTACCTGGAACGAGCCCAGATGTTCAAGTACTTGGGCAGGCTGCTTTCATGGAAGAGCAAAGGTGGCCGGGACTTGCTCTGCCGAGTCTGCCTTGTTTCGGCCTTAGCAAGTGCACTCTTCACCAACGACACCACCTGCATTGTGCTCACCGAGTTCGTCCTCAAGCTCGCAAAGCAGCACAAGCTTCCTGCCAAGCCCTTTCTCCTAGCATTAGCATCTAGTGCCAACATCGGCTCAAGTGCAACTCCCATCGGCAACCCACAGAACCTGGTTATAGCTGTCGAGAGTAAAATCTCCTTCATCAAGTTCTTTCTCGGAATCTTCCCCGCCATGCTTGTTGGTGTTGTCATCAACGTAGTGATCCTTCTCGGCATGTTTTGGAAGCAGTTATCGAGCAAGGAGGGCGAAGAACAGAAAATGGAAGTCGAAGTCACCGAGATGGAAGTGAATTCCCATACTTTCGTGCCCGCGAGAATGTCGCACCCTCCTCCTTTGGACTCCCAAGAGATGAATGATGTCGAGAAGAATGATCCGCGCAAAGACGGTTCTCGGCAAGGCTGTGCACAAGTTTCTGATATGAAGAGGTTTCTGACAAAAAAGGAAGTGTTCTTGAAGGGCTCTGTGTATTTTGTAAGCATCGGCATGCTGATTGCTCTGCTAATGGGACTAAACATGTCATGGACTGCACTCACTGCTGCTCTGATACTGGTGGTGATCGACTTCAAGGATGCTGGCCCATGTCTTGACAAGGTAATTATTCCATGATCTTTCATGCTTAAAGAAAGCAGAAGAGAGGGAGATAAAATGCCTTTTGATTCTTTTTGGAGTTCACTTATCTATGTTGAAAAGACTCCCGCAATTTACCATTTTACTATGTTCTGAACTTTGTTTCTCAGTGTTTAGCACTAGGAAATATCTTATTGTGAAAACTGACGAGTCTTAGAACTTGTGGAATGGCTCAGGTTTCATATTCCCTGTTGGTGTTCTTCTGTGGGATGTTCATCACTGTTAATGGATTCAACAGGACAGGAATACCGAGTGGCTTTTGGAATTTTATGGAGCCTTATTCTCGGATTAATCATGTGAGTGGAGTCACAGTGCTATCCATTGTCATACTGCTGCTATCGAACTTGGCATCCAATGTACCCACCGGTAAGTTAAGCTTCTCCTTGTTGCTTTCATCTGCCACACGTACAGTGCATTGGACTGCATGATTGAATCAAACATGGTTACTAACTCAAAACTTAATCTCGAAATCAAATGAGTCTCTGATGAAACGTATCAAATGATCCACCACGGTAACCTCTTGATGAAACATTGGTGACAGTGCTCTTGCTGGGGGCTCAGGTGGCCAAGTCAGCCGCTGCAGTGTCGCCCAAGTACGAGGCGAGATCATGGCTGTTGCTCGCGTTCGTGAGCACCGTCGCCGGCAACCTCTCGCTGCTGGGCTCGGCGGCCAACCTGATAGTATGCGAGCAGGCGCGGCGGTCGGAGCTCCACAAGTACACTCTCTCCTTCTGGGAACACATTGTCTTTGGACTGCCGTCGACGCTCGTCGTCACCGCCGCCGGACTCCCCTTGATCAGGGCTTAGCTCATCGTCGTAGAATGCTGTAACTAGAAATAATCCTGATCGTTACCATGTACTCCCTGGTGATTGCCGAACGAGGTATACTTCTTTTAGGAGCTTGTATTCAGTGAAATGAGAGTTCAAGAAGGGTGTGAACTCGTATGTATGTATGTAGATCAGTAGATGCATGCTGGCCAGCTACAAACAAATATTCCAATCATGTATTCCTTTTTTCCTTCATAATTTGAGTTCGGATGCTCAATTGATCGAAACTAGAAACAAGGATAAAAAAGAAATTTAATGTTTATTAATAGCTAATAATCATCTAATTAGACTAATCCTTGAGCTTAGTGGTGGTGTTATCGTTATAATGTCCTTTGAAGGCCCTGGGGAGGTAGACGGCGTGTAGAAGCCCAAAAAGACCGAAGGCCCAAAAGCCCAAATTGGAGACGGCGTGGGCGGCCCTGCGCCTTTTCGACCTCGCACACCACCCCCCAGTCCAGGATGGTGAAGAGGCGCTTGGTGTTGTGGAAGACGGGCACGAAGGCGCTCATCGGCGGCGAGAAGCGGGCCGAGTAGGTGACGCCCTCGTTGAGAACCTAGGCGGCGAGTAGGAATATAGTCCACTCTGCGAACCAAAGAAGATGAGCTTGAAGCTTGCTGAGGTATATATATATGTGCATCGGTTTCGGCTTCTGATTGGTAATTGCAGAACAGTTCTTGATGGACTAGTCTTGAGTGATTGATTACATAGAAGCTTTACAGCGTCGCCTATTCACCGACTTTTGGAACTACAAACAGAGATCCAAGTTTGAGAAGCACTGGTGAGACGAAAGGCTCTGCCACTGTTAACAGGGCACAGATCCATGTAGTACTACTCTTCATATGATTTCTCATGGGGCAGGTCGCCTGTGCACAGACTCTGAAGCGTCCGAGTTCTCTGGACCTGCCCACATGCGCGTCTTGTGACTGTGACCACTCGACGGATCCAATGCCATGGATGTAGATGGACAAGATGCCTGCCCTTTATACACATCCGCGTTCCGTGATTCCGTAGTCAACAGCGCGCCAGACACCGAGTGGTCAAGATCGCAGATGGTCAACTCAACCCGTACACGGGAAAAGGAACAAGGGGGAGAGATTTAGCGTTGTCAAGTCAACAGCGCGCCAGACACCGAGTGGTCAAGATCGCAGATGGTCAACTCAACCCGTACATGGTCAACTTAACACCCCGTCAATTTTTGATGTTTCTTCCGTAATAAGTAGATTTAGCGTCTTGATAGGAGTGTTCGCTTGGATGATGAAAACGCAAGATCGTATTTTTGCTGCTATGGAGTCACCAGCAATAGCATGTCTGCATGATCTCTTCCGGAGGACAATGCCAGACAATGACTGTGGCAAGTCTACAAGGCGTACGCTGCACTCTGTGCAACATGATGCATGGACACCGAGGCATGTTCTTCCCATGAATTCTGACCTACTGCAGTCTCACTTTACCCCATGCTCAAAAGCAGAGGAAATTTGTTCCATGTTCATGCAAGAGGAGCCATAGCAGAGAGTTGTTCAAGATCATTCATGGCGTGGCCCCAACTCTTCCTGCAAGTGGATTGTCTGCCTCTTCTGCAGTCCATATCGACTTTCTGAGCTGAATGCCCATTGAGGGGGGAAAAGATCATCTGATGTGGTTCTGAAAGGATGCCTTCTCACAGGGTTGATCATATGACCCACCTAAATATTTATAGATCTTTAATTACTTTAAAGGATCACGTCACGTTCTGTAGGGCCGAATAGTGTTCGAAAAAATGTCTCAGTATCGTGACAATCTAAGTTTCATGTCCAGTTTAGTCTTTGGGAACAGTACATCAACGTGGGGACACAGTCAAAGGGCCACGAGCACAATCTGACACAATTGTCTCTCCATGCAATCTTTACATCATTTGACAGGGGCCCCTAATAGTGTGTTTACTGTGTGATCATTAGGGAGAAAGAACATTATAGATTGCTATCAAACAGTTGGGAGGAGGAGGAGACATGGGATTGGTATTATAAGGGAAGGGATTGCAACACCTAAACACCTATTCACTACACCTTTTGGCCATGGCCAGATGATGTTTGAGCAAATGATGCTGCTTGGTGTGGCGGGGACAGAGTACGCAATCAGCACAGACCAAGTTCCGTTGGATTACTTTAAGAGAAAGCAAAGGAGGTATCAGTAATTTCAGAAGCTACAACATGACTGAATGTGGACAATGCAAGCTTTGGGACAAGTAATCAACCATAAGCTTCTTTATTAGAGAGACCGGACAACAAGAGAGCTTGAGTTAAGCTTGGAGAAGTAAGACAAAACTATACATCTCTCTCTCTCTCTCTCTCTCTCTCTCTATATATATATATCTCCTATATTTTACAGGTGCAGGTCATTTGTCGCCAAATGTCTATTTTTCTTTTATCAAAAGAGCTGAAGCTTGTGAAGCCAAAGAGTATCTGATCGCCGCCATTGCTCTCCCTTCTCCTCGGCCAACACCAGTGGCAGAGGAATACATATCTCTCAATCTATCAACTGCTCTTGAACACAGGTAGTCTCCATCCTGATGTAGCTTTTCCTCCGATTTTTAACGAGTTGTAAAATCTTTTAAAGTGGATGGGGTTTAAGGACGGATTTTCTAAGAAATGGCGCTTGAAAGTTATTCTTTTGTTGGTTGAGCATTCTTTGGGCGAAAAATGTGATCTTTAGGAAGAAAAATGTCACCTTTGTGCGACTCAGGTGTCGTGTAGTATTTTGGAAATGCATGGTAAATTTCCGCGGTGAAATGCCTGAGATCTGGTGAAATTAGGGTACCGGCTTGGCCAGCACTTATCCTGCTAGTGATTTCGAATTAGACTTGAGATGATAATTCAAACTGCTGGAGATTTGCCATTAGTCTGCACTTTTACTCGTATTAAGGATGAGATATTAGAGGATCTTCTATTCTGCACTGGATTTTATTGTTCTGTTTCACTATTGTTTTTCTTCGTTTCTGCATGTTACTTTATTGTCATATCCATTCGCCTTTTGGTACTTTTATTTAGAACATTGAAATCTCTCTTCTTTGCTATAAACCTCGAGTCGTTATCCTTCTGCTGCTGGTACCATCTGGTTATTTCCTTCATCCAAATGGGTACCCATTATCTTTCATTGCGAAAGATAATGATTAATATGATGGTAGATTAACGAAATGGGTCCACTAGATTTTCTACGGCATCATAAATTTCAGTAGAAAGAAGTCATTTTATGCAATTGTAATGGAATAATTTGATAGAACTACTTTATCCATGCAATTCTAGAAGGAAAGAGCTCTTTCCCTATAAACAACAGAAATTGGTAACTGCAGCACTATGTTTGACTAGTGGGTTGGACGTGCCCTTCAGGTACAAAATGTCATTGATCTGATGGGTTCAAGAACATATATAGATTCAGGAAAGGGAGTTTTAGGAAGGATGGGAATTTGGTACAAGTGAGTACCAGAATCTTCAACATGCCATAGAGTAGGGAGAGCTTTGTCCTATATAAAGTAGACCTAGATTTTAATACCCTCCTTAGTTGTATAACTAATCACCGCGAAAATGTTAGTGTTATTCACTACATTACTGTTATTTACTACTCTTGTTATGCTTTTCAAATACATGAAAGAATTGCTGCACAGAGATTTCTGATAATTGTTAGAACAGCATAACAAAGCAAATCTATGATGTCATTTTTTGTCTTGTTCTTTATCATCATGTATTGTTTATGCACCAAAACTCGCTGTTTGTCTTTCTTAATTCTTTTTCCTTCTTGGAGATACCATATATCGATGTTTTGTTAGTTATGTTGCTTCAACTTCAGTACAGTAATCATCACCATCATTTTTCATTTCCATCCAATGGTAACAAAAAAATTGTGCATATCCATTGTATTACTTATCTCGACGATAAGTCTTGGGATGATATTATTCATTGAATCAGATACTGAACTTAATTCTTAAGTGAAAATGTTTGTTACATAGAAGTCTCTAAGCTGCAATAGATATGATTCTTTTGCAAATGTTGACTCCTAAATAAACCGTGATTTTCTTATGAGATGTCTTCATAGGTCGGAGTATTGCCTCCTTTGAATTGGTTATGCATTCTTTGCTGTCTACCATGTTACAATATCAGTAAATCAGAAGTCAACATTTGTAATACTTTTATTTACAAGCAATGTATTCCATTATAATGTCAGTTTAGTAAACTCGAGTTAGTGACATGCATCTAATGTATTCATTTTTCAGCCAATAATTATTGTTATTCGTTCTCTGTATGTGGATCTTTTTACTACTTTGATACCTTCTAATTTGTGCTCCTTAACTCTTATGATATTTCCATTCTATTTACTTATTTTGCATATTTAAACCTAGTTGAGAACTAGACTCCTCAAAACTTGACCAACAGGTGTATTTGCTCTTTTATCCAAATTTCAACAATTGGGGAAGACCATCAAACTAGGGATGTGGATCAGGTCTAATATGTAACCAGACAATGTTTCGCATTTTCCAGCTGTTGCGTGAACTTAAAAAGTATAAGATAAAAAGGAACAGAAAAAATTATGCTGCACCTTTCGCAGCAATTGTAGTGGTTGACTGGCCCATTGAGGGAACACTTGAGGACATGGAGGAAAAGGAAAGGGAAATTGAGTAGTTGAGCATGTCCCCACTTTTCCCTCTTCTTGCCTTTCCACTCCAGCTATCTAGGAAGTAGGCCATCTGCTTCACTAGTCAACATCAGAGGACACCGTAATTTTGGCAGTGGCTATCTGAAGAAAGGGGTATTGGCTAAATCTTGATCCAAGATTTTATTGGCTTGAAAGAGAAGTGTGAATTTGATTAGGCTTGGTCTACCAAGATCTCATATTAACCAGTTCTAGTCTAGGTTAGTCGAATACTAAGCCCAATTTGTTCTAACCAGTTTTAGTCAAAACCAACTAAAAGTAGATTTAGGAGAAAAGGAAAATCCTTTTTACACAGAATGGTAATTGTTTATTGATTTTATTTATGTTGTTTTGATGGACGTTTCTTGAGATATTTTGGTTCTCTTTGCTCAACTTACATGTATTTGCTCATGTCTGTGCATCAACATCTGGTACAGTTCTCTGCAGCAAAACTTGTTACTAGGTTTTGGTAGTGTTATGAGACTGAAGCATTCCTAGCGAACTCCAAGCAATCCATCATTTTGTGATTTTCTTTTGTTTTGATACTTAAATTTTCTTATTAATTTAAGATGATGGATCCTATGCTAGACTAAAGTTAGCCAAGACAAGTGTTTTTAAATAATTCGTACAATAGTCTAATTGATGACTTGGTCAGATAGTGAACTAGTTCCATTTGCTAGTTTAGATTCAAAGCTTGCTTAGTTTTAGCTTTAAGTAATCAAGAGATTTTTTGCCTACTCTTGTGAAAGCTAACCTATCTTTATGCTTCAGCAGTTCATTGTAACCATGGGTCAAAATGTTGTTTTGGAATGTGGAAATCATTTACAAGCAAGAATGAAGCCTAAAATTGTCCACATTTCTAGTCTTAGCACTAAGGTACAAGAGAGAGTGAGAAAAAGAGAGACAACTGACAGGTACCACTACTTCAAGATATTGGATGATGATCTGAGAGAACTTAACCGCAGTTATTCATCAAGTCTTCATTATGAAAGCATGCACTCCAAATCTTTTCGAGCCAATGGTGATAATGAAGTGTTAAAAAGAGGTTCTATGTATCAGAGCTCTAAAGAGGTCAGGAGAATGAGAAAACTGCAAGAGGAAAGGAGGAAAGTAGAATTGGAATGCAGAGGTGACGATTTTCTTTCATTTGAGATTGTTGATCATCTGCCACAGCATGGCATGGACAAAGTCAATCAGTCACTACATCAGAAGCTTTTGCCTCTTGTTTCATCAAATGCTAACTCAAAACATACTGCTGCCACAGTTAATCCTATCACAACAAGCTCCATGGAGTTTCTGGATCTTTCATTCCGTGATCTTCTTGACAAGCCTCTGAATACCAATAACTCATGCTCAGACATTGTGCCAGCAAAAAGTAGTCTTGTAGATGATCTCTTGGATATCTCTGATCACACTGTTGATGCAAGAACTCATTGTACAAAAGCAGCTCCTAGGCTGCGAACATCAGGATCTCTCACGTTACAGAAGTCCAACTTCCATGAAATGATATGTCCTGAAAGTTACAGGAAAATCACTTATGAGAGAGATTCGCTAAAAGCTCTTCCAAAGTGCTTTTCAGAAAATGCAAATATGTCCCATACAGTTTCTCAGTTGGAATGTGGTTTAGCTGAAGAAAGTGGTCCAAAAACTATCTTTAGGTCACTCAAGAGAATGTTTGATCCTATAATGAAATCCAAATCTGTCCGAAATCTACCGCTCTCGGGAAGACAAAGCACTGGGAGCAGAGTTACTGAAACTGCAAACGTCAGGAGGAATGGAGTGTTCCAGAAATCTTTACTGAATGAATTCTCAATAACGGAACAGAAGATAGAGCATGCTGCATGTTTGATGGCTGGAGAGCACTTGAACGCTGCTGTCTTGCCTGCTCATCTACATGGAATTCTTAAACTGGAAATAGAGAATGGGAACCCTTCATTTCAGTTTACTCTAGAAGATCCAGAAGATGTCCTATCCACAAAGACATGGAGAACAGATACTGCATATAACTGGGTTTACACCTTCCACAGGTCTAAAAAGAAAATGAACACTGGTCGAGGGACCAAAGATAAACATGGGCAGTCACCTCCATTAGTCGGGCAGATGCAGGTTTCTTGTCACCTATGCTCAGAAGTGAGAGAAAATGGATCTTTGGCTAACTCAACAGTCACAGAGTTTGTGTTATATGACATTGCACGAGCAAGATGCAGCTTTGCTGTCGAAGAAAGATCCAAGTGCTCTTTAGATTCCATTCATTCTGTTGCAAGTAATGCTACAGAAGGCCTGATCACAGGACCTCTAGAGAGAAGCATTCCAGTGGGGCACCCTAATCCTGCTAGACATGGATTTAGTTGTTGTGACACAAATGCTTCAACTTCTTACCCTTGGTTACCAGAAGATTTGCATCCACAACTTGAGATTGCAGCTATTGTAGTTCAAATTCCTTTCAGCAAAACAGAAAATCTGAAAGATATCAAAGTGTTCGACCTAAAAGAAAATCAAAATTTATCAAGACTGCCCACAGATGATCCAGGAAGGGAGACCAAGAACAGCCTGAATCCTGCGTTTGTGAAGGTCATGATTCCGAATGGGCCTCATGGGTTGCCAGATACTGATGATGGTGGCCCATCTGCACTTCTAGATAGATGGAGGTCTGGTGGAGGCTGTGATTGTGGTGGCTGGGATATGGCCTGCCCAATTCTTGTATATAACAATCCCCAAGCTGATGATTTGATAGATCATTCAACTGGGAAATTTCAAAATCCCATTTTGCTTTTTGTTCAGGTATGCCTATCTCATTTTTTATGATAAATTTGTTAAAGTGTGATTCCTCAGTCTCTCTGCACATCCACCAGTGAAGTGCAGTTTCAACCTTTCTACTATTTGATGGAAAACTGGAAGTTTCTGCATCAACATTCATTTTAACTTTGTACTTTGGCATGGATTCATAGATTTACTTCATAGTTCTTTGATTTAGGAGAGTTAGCCAGTGTGTATACTCATGCTGGGTGATTGCATGACTGTCTCCAATAAAACTGTGTAGTTTGGCAGATCAAATTATCTGGGACATACAGACTTAGGTTTCCACTTTCAACTCCTGAATCACAGATTATACACTTTTAGCTCTGCCTTCACAGTTAACACAAATAATCTTTTGAGAACCATTCTAAATTTTTCTTTGTATATTCTTTGGGAGGATGAATGTCTATCTGATCTCAATCTTTTACATACATTACTTTTAGTGAAATTATTCGGTATTGCCTCTGACTCATATTTTTAAACAGGGAAGCAAGGAAAAGGAACCTGCTCTATCGATAACAGCAGACGGGGAAGGACAGTATTCAGTCGATTTCCATGCACGATTCTCATCTCTACAGGCATTTTCAATCTGCATGGCCATGTTGCACAGTGCCAACATTTCTACACCCGTTCTTCTGGAGAAAAGCAGACACAGATCTTGTTCTAACTCACTGAAATCACTCCTTGAGGAAGAAGTAAAGCATTTGATCGAAGCAGTTGCAGATGAAGAGAAAAGAAAATCTAAAAAGGGCGGAGAACAAATGCCTCCTTTTTGCATAGACCCACCCTTTTCTCCCATTGGGAGGGTGTAAACTTTGAGCACCACATGCTTACTGAAGAAGTTGAGGATGATTACTTCAATGGAGCAAAGTCCTCAAGAGAAGATGGGAAACATGCCAAAATATTCAAGTCATTGCGACTACATGTTCATGAGAATGACGGGTGCGAAATCATGTCCATGTTCATACTTACAAGTGAGACGACGATGTTCTTTTCTGTATATAAAGAAGAGGTGTACACCTTTTTGTCCGATTGCTTGCTGGATGTCATGATTGATCTTGAGTTGGTAAGCAATCTCAGAAACAAATAATTCTTGATTTTTGAGACATTTGAAGCCTTGCGGACGATTATGTGCACGAGTTATTTCAAGGAAAACTGAAGTCCAGCCGCTGATCAGTGTTATTGTTTCGCATGATTCTGATAGTTAAAAGTCTCCTTAAGCTCATATCACATCCCATAGAAAATACCGAAGCACGTTAATCTTGTATTAATTTTTTAGTATATTTTTTATTATTATTGATCTTTCAAATTTTTTGTTTCGCGCTTGGATTCCTTTCCCTTAATGTTCATTCTTTACATTAACACTGTGAACTCTCTCAAATATGAATATAAAATCTTTGAACGTAATCTGAGACAATGGTCTTTATTTAAGCAAATAGTGGTGTTCAACATCTGACACAAGTCACACACTTGCAACGACAAGACCTACCTAAACGTTGCACTGATCGGAGCTGAAGTCGTAGAATAACTCCTTGTAGTAGTCCATGTACTCCGCCTCCATTGAGACGGCCACCATAATGCCCCAGTCCTTGCCCGGTGGCTTGGGCATGATGTAGCACAGGCCACCGTAGAACATGGAAGCCGGTCCCATGAACTCCGGCCTCCCCCACCCGAAGTATGCCTCGTAGATCGGCAGCGACGTCCAACATGTGATCGAAAGATCCGCCGACGTGAAGTTGCCCGCCCACCGCCCGAGGCTCCTCACGTCCTCCTCCATCTCCAAGAAGTCCAGCGCCGAGCGCAGGTACTCGTCGTCCGCGATCGCGGTGGCGCGGTGGATCCTGCTCGCGACGTCCCCGGGCCGCTCTGACACCACGTCGCCGACCGCCGCGATCGCCACGGTCGGGAATATCACGTTACCGATGTAGCCCTCTGGCAACGACGGGCGTCGGTCGTGATGTAGACCCTGGTCTCGCTGTGGGCGTCCAGACGGCGGGCCATGCATGCTTGGCGCCAGACGTGCGCGGCCACCGCCTCGTAGGTGGTGACGCGCCGGGGCGAGGGCATCGTCGCGGCGCACGAGCGCTTAAGCGCTGCGATCTGGTCGGCTGTGAGCTCGAGAATGGCGGTTGAGATGGCAGGCATGTCGGCGTAGGTGTGGATGCCGGCAGCATAGCGCTTGAACTCGATTTGGGGGAAGCGGACGGAAGGCGGGGAACGAGGCAGGAGGAGGGACTGGTCGAGGAAGGGCGGCACCGCGGGTTCGATGCCCCTGGTGATGTCGGACCATGCATTGATGAAGAGAAGGGAGGCGACGCCGTCGGAGACCAGGTGGTGCGCGCCGACCCCCAGGCACACCCGTCCACACTTCAAATATGTCACCTATAAATGTTATTCTCGAGTGTGAATATAAATATCACAAGTTGACCATCAGCTTGTTTGCTAACGTTGAACTTGGTCAAACTAGTCAAAATTAACATATATCCGGATGATAAACATCCTAGTTGAAAACTTAAATCTTTCGATTATGAGCTAAATTCAATATATACTAATATAAAATTATTCTTTTAGAAGATTAATATTTGTCATCCTCTATTTTTATTTACAATCGCATGATAAAACTTTGAATATTTTATTTTATTTTTATAAATAAACATATATGTCTAAAATTTATAATTCAATTTTTAATAAAATTTATAATTTATTTTTTAAATATCTTTTCACACACAGTTGGAGTGCCAAAGAACCTGAAGCAGCAGGAGAGGGATGGCATCGTCCCCTTCACCAGGATCTACAGTGGGTATTAGCATTCGCCTGCACTCCGGCGAGGGTGCGAAATCGCCGAACTTGTCGATGGTGAGCTCCTCCGCCTTGGCCTCCACAAACAGCACGCCCTTCCCATTGCACTCGATCTCCGTCCGGCCAGTATCGTCGGTTCCGATCCGGCAGGCGAAGAGATACAACGGCACCAGCGCTTTGCGCAGGCCAGCTTTAAGCACCTCCGGGGAGAAGAAACCGGAGCCGTCTCCTTGGATGGGCGGCCGGTAGAAGTAGACGGCGGGAACGTGAGACCGAATCTGAAACAGATCCAAGGTTGAGAGCCAGATGGATAGCCTTGGGGTCTCCTCCGGGGCCACAAGGCTTGAGTTCAGCACTCGAACCACCATGTTTGCCGAGTGATGAATCTTGTACCAGGTGCTGCCATGGATTTTACAGCGCTAGGACAGTGACGTCTACGTCCTGTGTCAACTACTCTCAGTATATACTCTGAATCCCCACAACCCACTGCAGAGAACATTAATCCCTCCATTTACGCCAGTCTACATAAACGAACCCTGAAGGACGTACAGGTCCATCAACATCAATCGTCGACCCTATGCAAACTACTATTCCCACTCCCCAAGGTTAAAAACTAATCCCCAAGGTTTGAATAGAAGAGAGGATCGACACACAAAAACCCTACTATTCCCACTCCCTTCAAAAGCTAACTTTACCATCGAAGGAGTTGGGTCGGGAACTCCTCCGACGTTGACTGCTTGTGCAAGACATACCTTCGCTCATCCCTAAAACCTCGAAAAAGCTTCAATCACCTCGGTCCAACACAAAATCCACCTCAAGATTGCTTTAGTCGAATCTTCCTTCACTCCAACCACCTCTCATATTGTCACGTGAGCCATCGAGACGAGGTTATGTTTTCGGAACAAAATCAAGTCATGTTGACTCTCCGATCAACGACATCAAGGTGATAGCATTACCCATAAACAGATCGGATCCAGATTGATTAGACATAAAATCCAGATGGATTGATCTTTAATCATTTTAAATTCTATTTTAGATTAATGCATATGGTAGATAATAAGCATCAGTACTCGTTCAACATGAAAAAGGAAAACTAGTACAAGCAATTTAGAACCTTCTTCAGCCTGAGTACCATTAGAATCCAATACTGATATGACAAACATACAAAGACAACAGCAATCATGTTATGAAGTCACCAATGGGTATCAGCATATAGCCTAAAATAAGAGCTGATAATGACATCTCCAATGTGCCATCAGACACCACTAGGAGACCACGGACAAGGTGACAAAACAAACCCTGTATACAAGCGCAAAGAGAGAAGATGTCAGGCACACAGAGAAACTAATATTAAATCCATCAAAAAGGACCATTTGCTTTTACATGGCCATATATTCATGCACTTAAATACCATATCTACTCGACTGACTTGCTTAAAAGATGAACAAAGGTGACAAATTTTCAAGATTAGCAGAGAACATCCAAGGCAGAAGGAATTTAATGCAAAGAATTAGTTCACTTTGTGATCAATAAGAGCAAATAGAAAACGCAATTTTTTTTCTAGATGAAAGTAGCATCATAAATGTATACACAATTCTTCACAGATTCACTGGTGAGAAAAAAAGATACAATTATGATTAGTGGTGGCATGGACAAGTGATATGCCATTTATAATGCTAAATGGGGGAATAGATCCAACTAGCCAACCCCAAATGGTTGGACATGGTGGCTTATTTTTTATGGTGGCACTGATGGTTATTGATCGATAAGAACAATATAATTAATACTCTCAAATAAAAAAACAACAATCTATGGAAGGCAATGAAATAATCACCGAATGACAGCCCTGAACAAGACTCTGGATGACATGGAAAATGTAAATTTGGAATCTGACAAGTTCCACAACTAATTGAAAGGACCAAGTTGTAGATGGAAATTAAAAGTGTGAAAGAGTTCCATACTTGGCACGCCATATTTACAAGAAGTCTTCTAGTTATTCGCCATGAAAATATCAGAATAGTCGTCGTTGCAGATCACCTGCAGTATATAGCCTGATCAATCTGCGGAGGAATCTGCTTTATTTCTGTTCCGAGTTCTTGCTCAATCCTATACCTGGCATTAGGTGATTATTTTTCATGTCATGAGAAAGATGAACTAAAGACAAGAAGAATGTTTTAGCATTTTGCGGATTGATAAATGATCATACAAGTTAAAGCGATCCTCATAGGTGATAAGATTGACTGCTAGACCAAGGTGACCATATCTGCCTGAACGACCAACCTGAAATTGTCCAACAACTGCTAGTCTCAGCAGGTTCATTTCAATATTAAAAACTTCTATTGTTTTTAGGACACAAGCATAGAAAATTTCAGACAATAAAAGAGTGTATCCAAGTAGCAAATAAGAAAATCTGTTAATTAATCCAACGATGGACAAGTAAATTCGAGGCAATGACCGCTGTGAATTTAAACGAATTCAAAAACACATGGATCCTTCCGATTAATCTTGTGGATTGGCAGCTCATTTATTTATTTATTTTCCCTCCCATCTGAACAGATGAAGAAAAACTACTTAATCAGCAGTTCATGTTGACTAACATGCCCAGTAAACTGGCATTGCAGATAGAACACTAACATAAACAGTATGTTGTCAAAACATACCCTGTGCAGATACGTCTCAGAGTTCTTTGGAAAATCAAAATTGATCACAACATTAACAGCTTGAATATCGATTCCCCTTGTAAACAGATCTGCAAAGCTAGGCAAAAATGTCACAAGGTAGAAAAGCATCTTAATATAAAAAGTGACATGAAATGAAGACAGATACAATTTGTAATAAACACCAATTCAGTTCTTTACAATGAGCTGCGATGTATTTGTACTAAACCCAGGGATTATTGTTTCCCAGATTCCAAGAGTTTCAGCAGGTCAGTTTGTGTCCTGAAGGAGAAATGCATGGAGAAGTACATTGAGGGTCGGTGACTCCATATCACATTACAAACAGGACTGGATAGGTTTTTTTGGCCTAAACAGCTCGAAGATCATTAGACAAGGGGACCCTCTTCACACCTCTCCAAGGACCATAATGGTCCATCCAGCAATCAACACTATGCAAACTCCTAAGCGATGGGTAGCCACATTCCAAGCAGGACTTAGATGGTCTTTTGCTTAGACAGCTAAGGAACATCATTAAGCCAGAGTGCTCTCTTCAACGTCACCAAGGACCACATTGGTCCATCTAGCAATCAACACAAGGCAAATTCCTAAGCAGTGGATAGCTTATCTGTTTAATCTGGTTGTTAGTAAAGTTGTGGACAAGGTTTTACATAAAACATTGAATGGTTCATTATACATAAGTGCCTCATATATTGTATATCACTTCCCACCTTAACGTGATGGATCCACAATTACCTCCAACTGAGTAAGACGAGGGAGAGGAAGAAAAAGGATGGTGCATTTAGTTCAGGTCAAGTATCAACCAGAAGTGGTTAGAAAAAAGAGCATGGCAAATCCACAATAAATGCAGTGATACCTACTGAAGTGCATAACTTTACATGTTTTCCAGTTTTCTCAAAAGTCACAAGGGATGGGAAAGCCATGACCCTCCATGAGACATGATACATAAACTAGGCACAAAGTCACAAGCAATAGGTGTCATTGTTTATGTATGAAATGTATCAGATGAAAAAGAAAATTGCAACATGATTCTAACAACTAGTGAATCCAGAGATCCACAAAATTAATTTTAAATAGAAGTTTAAAAAAGGACTTCTGACAACAATGTCATACCTGTACAGACAAGATTCCTGCATGCACCATTGCGAAAGTCATGAAAGACGCGGTTCCTGTGATCTTGCAACATCTTAGCATGAATATAAAAGCATGAATAACCAAGCTCAGTGATCTTCTTTGCTAATAGCTCCACCCGGTTAACAGAATTGCAAAAGATAATAGATTGGTTAATTTGCAGCTGTCAAAACAAAAAACATTCACTATTGTCAGATCTATGAACTATGAAGAACATTCAGAAGACAAAGCACTCCTAACTGAGGACAAACCTTTGAGAAAAGGGTATTAAGGCATTGAACCTTCTGCCTTTCCTCTACAAAAGCATAGAATTGTGTTATTCCCTTCAGTGTCAGTTCATCCATTAGATTGATAATATATGGTTTTGGAAGATATCTGTCTTTAAAATGTTTTATGGTAACAGGGAATGTTGCGGAAAACATTAAAATCTGCCTATTGGCAGGAAGAAACTGAATAAGCTGCTCTATAGACGGCTGGAACTCAGGAGAGAGAAGTTTATCCGCCTGAGAAATGAAAAACATGTATCTGCCATCAGAGAAGAACATGTGTGCAAAGAAAAAAACATAACAAATGCAACGAGAACACTGAAAGTTACATGTTGACCACAGCAGTGAGCAGAAGCAATTAATGATTAACATTGTAACACTTCAAGAATCAAATAAATAAATTTGATTTTACAATGAAATTGAACTTAAAAGATTTTCCAAGAACAAATAATCCTTTCAAAAATAATTACATTA